CCGGGCGCCAGGTGCGTGCCCGCCCAGAGCCGTCCCGACGCCCCCGCAGGAACTCGCGGCGGCAGCTGCCCAGCTTCCTGCCCCAGTACCCGATCCCAGACCGGCTGCGCAAGTGCGTGGAGCAGAAGATTGACATTCTGACCTTCCAGCCGCTGCTGGCCGAGGTGGGCGCCTCGCCTCTGCCCGGCCCCCAGCCCCGCCGGGTCACCCCTGGGTCGCGCCCGTGGTTCACAGGGACCCAGAAGGGGCCCCAGGGGGTGCTGGGCACAAGGGTGGGGGCGGTCCCCCCAGGAGGGAGCCAGGGAGGACAGGTCTGTCCTGGGCACGGCTGAGCAGAGCAGGGGGGCTGGACACGGGGTTCTTGCGGCCCCGCAGTGGCCTGCCTCGGGGCTCAGCAGACTGGCACGCGGAGCGGGGCCAGGAGGCCCAGCTGAGCCCCTGGAGGGGGCGGGCGGCGGGGCAGGGCTGCCCCGGGTGGCCGGGACAGGCAGGCCTGGAACTCACTGCCGCAAGCACCGCGCACGCCAGGCTGGGCCCGGCTGGCTCTGCCACGCAGTCACAGCTTCCTCCCGGGACTTGGCGCCCCGCGGCGAGGGTGGGCACCTGATGCCCTCTCGGGGTTGAGGGGAGCCTGGTTGGGGGTGTATCTGGTCAGTGAGGGGCGTGTGGCTGAGCCGTGTCCCTCTGCGTCCCTCGGTGGCGCCTCGCGGTGGCCTGGCCTACTGGGTCGCTGAGCTTTGCTGCCCTGCGGGCCCCGCCCGCCCCTTCCCGACAGGTGCACTGCGCTGTGGCCAGGCCTGGGTTCCGCGTGGCGCCCACTGCTGGGCGTTGCCATGTGGGGTCGTCTGTTCCAGCGCCTGGGCCCGCGCTTTGCCCCGGGGCACCCGCGCCCCTAGGAATGGTCCTCGCAAGTGGCTCTCAGCGGCGGGGCAGGCAGAGGGCACCCGGGGCAGGTGGGCAGCTGCACCGTGTCCCAGCTCAAGGCCACAGTGTGGATCTGGGCAGCTCTGCGTGCTCAGGGGGGTCTTCTTCCCAGGAAGCGCTTTTTGGGGTCCTGGCTCAGGTGCAGGTAGAAGCCAGGGGTGCCGCCACGCCATCCCCTCACGGTGTCCATGGCAAGGAGGCCAGAGGGGACGCTGACCCAGGCCTGCCCGCGCTCCCCGGGCGCCTGCCCCTCCCCGC